GCAAACTATCAGAAGATTTTAAAAGTTCAGATAATTTGTTACACTGCAGCATATCCAAATGTTTTTCATAGAGTTTGTGCTGAAAAGATTTTCCAATGATGCAAATTGACATTTTTGTCACAAGGAACCCCGAAGGAACAAGGAATGAAAGAGAACATGGCAGGCGTAATTGACAACTGCAATAGCTTCAAAACTGTCATAGTGGATTTCTTCTTCTGCCTGAGCAAACTTTCAAATAGTTCAACTTCACAAACAGATATTTCAAGCTCAAGTTGGACTGACATAAATCCATAACGTCATGGGCTAATTCAACAAATACTAAATCCACTTTTGTCAAGATCGATATTCATTCTATTTCTTTTGAATAAAGGTGCCACCCAATGAAATGTATCAAATGCTAATTTCAAACATTCATTTTCATACGGTACAAAGCCTTTATACCTCATTTCTTTGCATTTCAACCGTACATACTAAGAGATTTTGTATCGTTCATATTGATCGACTACATCATGCATGAGGACAGATCTAAACCTATGGGAGACTGTAAAACTGAATAGCAGTCTAGGACTCTAGACAACAGTCTCAATTCCGCATTTAGTAAAATGTCTTTTTTCTTGTAAACTCACTTCAATTTGAATATTATTCGATAATAGCATTAAAAATAAAATATACTGAAAAGAATGTTGGGATCAGTTCTGTGTTGAAACCTGATTGGTGGAAACAAACTGAAAATCTGTCAATAAAAAAGTATTTCTATTAGCTCAATCGGGTTGGTTGAAAAGCGAGGTGTCTGGGTAGCTCAGTGGTTCAGGTGTTGGCCTGAATAGTTGAAAGGTCCGATATCTCCCCATTAAGGTATACTGTGTCTACTCTGTTTGGGGAATCCCCGCAGTGACTGGAAGACTGCTAAATCCATATTACATGATTAAGGCAAAACAGTCTTTGTGAATATACTGATTTTACACTTGACCTTTGACATATTTAAGACAATTTTAGGGACTTTAAAATTATAAGGGGAGCAATTATTGATTGGAATTTAATATTTTTTATCAAAGTTTGAAGATGAAAGTGGAAATTCCACTAAAATGTATTAAAATGAAAGCCAGGTGTAACAGTTACAGGCAATAAAATCAACAGGCAGCAAAATCTTAAACTTTGTTCAGGTTTCCCCCTTTAGAATTTGAATCTTGGTACCTCCTAAACCATAAACATTAAACATAAGGGTTAAGACAAGGACCCTTTGCTAATTCAATAACAGGACAGGTTTATATACTTTAAGATATTCTCATCCTTGAGAATCAAATACATCTGACAGTTCCCACTGAGAATACATCTATTACCACTCCACAGATGATCAGTGTAATAGACGGACAGAGACAGTTGCTATTCCTGCACAAGGACACACTAAGTTCTGGAAGAATGCATGTGGATTTTAACATAGTCAGCAATAATCCAGCCTGTATGTAATCCTGTCTGGACCTTAGAAACCAGTGACATGAGCAAAAACATGAGCATTGAACCTAATTATCAGGGCGTAGTGACAAGTGAGTTTTAGTTTTACACCGCTTTTAGCAATATTCCAGCAATTTCACAGCGGAGGACACCAGAAATGGGCTTCAAACATTGTACCCATGTGGGAAATCGAACCTGGCCTTTGGTGTGATGAGCCAACGCTTTAACCACTAGGCTACTCCATCGACCCGTAGTGACAAGCAATCAGCCATGTTACATAAGGATGTCATGACAACCATGATGCTGCTATACAGGAATCTCATCATAGGATCATTTCTGTGATTGTCAGAGCAGGGAGTGAAGTAGGCCTTGATCCCAGGAACCCTACTCTTGTAAATGAGTAGGTGAGGGAGGGATAGAGGGAGGGAGAGGGGAGTGAATGAGAGTGGGAGGGAGGGAGGGAGAGGGGAGTGAATGAGAGAGGGAAGGAAGGAGAGGGGAATGAATGAGAGTGGGAGGTTGAGGGGAGCGTGAAAGTCAGTGATTTTTTCAGCATTTCTTTTGTATCAGGTTGTGTCATGAATACTCAGGGTAGTGAGTGAGTGAGTGAGTTGAGTTTTACGTCTCTTTTAGCAATATTCCATTAATATCATGGCGGGGGACACCAGAAATGGGCTTCACGCATTGTATCCATGTGGGGAATCGAGCCTGGATCTTCAGTGTGATGAGCGAACGCATTAATGTGCCACTTTTGTGTGACCCAGAAGTACAGTGCTGACAAAACAAGGATCATAATAATTCAATTCGGACCGATTATAGGATCATGTGGGTCTCAACTCAGCACAACGGAAAGCAAAGGTTGAGGGATTCAATAATGATCGTTTGTTAAACAACTTTTTTATTTGAGTGTCCAAAATTATGAGACAATTCATCAGAGTTGGTCTGTTGATTTCATATAACTGTGCAAAATTTGGTTTTGTTGCAATTATTAGATTTTGTGTCAGTGAGCAATTCATCGGTCTCAAATGAAATCAAACAGACTATAACTGCAATGACAAAGGGAAGTAACTCTGCAATCAAAGTACAGTGTCTTACAAAACTAAGTCACCCATACCCCCTGATAACTATTAATACTGCAACCATCAGATCTTAGGGGTCTGAAGCATCCCACTAGAGCAGAGTGTCCAACTCCTCCTGTCCCCCAACTCAGCAATCAGCTCAGAAACAGAGATACCTAACTAATCCCCTTATCAGACTCTATCAATCGACAGCATGTGTTGGGTTGCTTGTGGAAGAATGCACTGATGAAGGGATTCTGATTACTGTCTCAAACATATGGATAGAATTTCCTGGAAATATTGACTAACCCACATTTTCAGGAATATGTTGCTGATGAGTAACAAGGTTCAATGAAACTCTCCAGTGCTAGACACTGACATAAATCTTATTCACAGCCAGCTGGTTTCTCTCTTCAGTATATACAGCCCTACTTCCTGTGGTCCTCTATACCTATCTACAACCATGCACAGAACTTGATATTTAAGCTGGAGGTTTTCTTCTGATGTGAGACTCACATCTGATGAGACTGAAGCAAGACACATCTGATGGTGCTGAACAGAATAATTCATTTTATATTTTAGGATTCACACTTTGCTAAGGATCACACTGTCAAAAGAAAACTATGATGTTCAAATTTGGTTTAAATATCAGCTTATTGTCACTGCACAGTATGTCATTTCTAGTGGATCCCATACCCCTATTGAAGTTCTAAACTAGCATTTTACATTATCAGACAATAAAGGTATAGTTTTTGATGACGTAACACGTTATCTTGTCACTCGCGCCATTCTAGTGTGCCCCCTCATAATCGAACCATTTTACATTACGTCACAACGATGCATGTCAGTTGTCATCGCCTTCATGCGCCTCCTACAGTAAACTACTCTCCGTTGCATCCCGTTTCTTGGTTTGCAGCTGCTTCATGCAGCTAACATCACTGGTGGAAACATTGCATTTTATGTTTTTTCGATGGATATAAAATGTCTCAATTCGACTCACAATTTTTCAGTGACATGGTAACGTTAGAAATGTTTACATTCCCACAATGCATTTAAGTTGGAATGACTGACTGACTGACTACTCAGCTTCATCTGGCTTACTGATCTAAAGCAATATTCCAGTAGAAACATCCGGCGTTCATACACCAGAAATGGGTTTCACACATTGACAGATGTAATTAAAACCCGGGTCTTCGCATGAGAAGATATTTAACCATTAGGCTACCCCACGTGATCTGTAGAATGAATGAATTCAATTGTTTTTTATGAATGAAAAGACACACACTTACACAGACACACAGAGACACAGACACATCAATAGAACAGAACAGCCATTTAGCCCTGTCACGAGGATTCTTAATTTAGGTCACCGACACCATCGGTTGTTTTCTGCCTTAAATGAATTGTAATTATCCTTAGAAAGTATTAAATTTGGCATCTTAGAAAGAAATACAGTTAAGCTCTACCACCATGTATAGTGTAATAAAGCACACTTTAAGCCCTGAACTATTATAGCGTTAAAGCACTCGGATGCAAAGCATCCTCGTCCTTTAACTATAATAGTTCAGAGCGAAAGTGTGCTATTACACTATACATGGTGGTAGAGCGAACTGTGTATTCTAAAGTGTTGTATGTTTGTCAATGACTTGTTCCATGATTTGCAAAATGGTTGAGTGGTGCCATGAAAACCATTTGTATGGTTACTCATGTATCAAGCGCATAAGGTTAGATTAAAGTGGCTGTTTGCCTAAAGAGGGGTTACCATACTATTATTTATTCGGTTTCAAATGGATACAATTTCAAAATACAAATGTACGTTTTAGTAACATTGTGAATTTTTGTGATCCTTAGCAAAGTGTGAGTAGTATACAATAATCTGTTGCACAAAACAATTTGTTGGCTTTGCTTTGAATCATTTTCAAGGCAGTATATTATATCCCCATAACCTACAACTACTAGCATTACAGTATATTTATTTAACATTCACTGTATTGTATCTAAATCAGTCACCAACTAGATTTTTACAGTTCTAAATTTTAAACTTGTAGCTATTATAGACTGTACTGAATGGATGGATTTCAGATGGTTCAAATAATTATTGTGTTGACGAGAGAGTCAGGGTGAATGGGTTGTCTAACAACAATCTATACTCACACCACAAACACATCGACAGATGTCAGATACCCAGGGATATATCGAGGATTCCAAACTGAGAAAGACATTGCAATATTGCTGCACATTGGATTTTTTTACGCTGATATCAAATTTGGAAAATCAGAATTGAAATTGAAATTTTTACTGTTCTTTTCTGCACACATAGGGATGAATATCAGCTTCTGAAAGGTAAAGATAAACTCCTGTATATCAGAAAGAATACTGACCACTGACCAAGGACATGGATGTCACCCTCCAATAAAATTAGAACACTTAAGAGCACATGTCTGATTAACCAGCATATGTGGAGAGTTATTCCCCTTTAGTGACACTGACCTGCTTCAGGGTATGCTGGAAGATTGGCAAGTGTCTCCTTCAGCTTGGTGTAGCTCAGATCCTCAGGGATCTCTCCCTCCAGGCCCATTGGCACATCATCCAGGTCAGGTTCCTGAAACATGTTTAGGTTGTATTTGTCAGTGTTAAAAAAGATATCGCTCTGGTGATACATATTGCATTATGACATCATTTATGGTGGTCCACGTTGTATGATAAAGATAATTTGATGAAGATAAGTTGTGCTTTGAAGATGTTTCACATAGCTAGACAAAAATCAATTTGACTTACTGTACTTCCTGTCAATTGCCACCAGCAATATATCAAAATACAACAGATGATAAAATTGGAAGAAGATTATGTACATGTACAGTCTTATTGTTAAAAACCCTTATCTTGCATCAAAAAGGAGCTTTAGCTGAACAAACTGTTTTCTCCTTTCAAAAGGAAAATGACTTCTGTTCCAAGTATTTGGGGTATTAGATCCTATTGGCTTCTTATTTGTCACTGGTCTTTACCACCAGCCTGACATTAGATGGGTTTGACAGAGTGTTTCAGTGTGCACTCACTTTTCCAAAACTAATTTTTTTATTGAAAATTATTAAAATTTATTTCAGTCTTTCCACTCCCACAGCCATGATCAGCACACAGACATTTCTCCATTAACTTTGAATGTGCTTCTGTCTGCAAAGGTCAAATCTTCTGAATATGCCAGCAGATTGATACAGCTCCTTGCAGAACAAAACAGCTGCTATAACACTGACTCAGGCATTTCTGGACACTCTGACAGTTACAGTCTAATGCAGAGCATCTCCAGACAATACAACCATTGCAGACAGATGCATGGCATCTACAGACAATGTAATTATGAGTATGTAGATCATACAAATTAATGCAGGGTTCTCCAAACACAGCACCTGTGACTAAACATCTCCGACAGACAGTGCCATGGAGGAGCTGGAATCTCAGTCTTCATATATCTTACAGGATGGAGACCACTAATAACATGGATGTAGTCTGTGCTAAAACGTTGCAGCCAGGGACCTTGTCCTCAGTGTCAATAGAATTTAGTCTTGTGATATGGACTACACTTTTGTCTTGATGTCCATAACACTAACATTATAGAAATGTTCAAGGATTCCTGACTTTCCACGTGGACGAGAAATCTAACACAAAATACATCATAATATGTTTTTGTTATGGATTGAGCAAGTCTGATCTCTGGAGGCAGAAGCATTATCAATCAACATGACCTTCTGTTCATTCACATTGCAGGCTTAACCTTTAGATAATGGAACTGCGTAATCAATAGCCAAGGCCCTTTGTCAGCCAGATTGCTGGGTATTTGCCTGCCAGGTGAGCAGAGTATCCTGGCTGGTGCTAATTACAGGGTACTCCGAGCACATGGTTTGAATGAAGGTTACTGATAACTGATAATGATGACATATTGGTCCAACAAAGATCACGCAAGGACTGACAACATCTTCCACAGAATTCGATGTCAATGCAACAGTATGAAATGTAACGGAAACTGATCCTTGAAACAATGTATCAAGGCAGTTCTAGCTCTATAGCAGTGGCTTTCTCTTAATTTTTGCTACAAGTCTTCAGTAAAAAAAAGGACATTTGATAAAAACCAGTTGGGAAATAATTGTAATTAAAGCTGAAGGGACATTTGGTATTTTCATGCTTCTAGAAATCAATGCTTCAATATCATTCGAAAAGTTTCGTTAGCATTTTACTGATAAAGCTTACTAATGTATTAGTCAACAAAGAAAAAATGGTTATGCAAGCAGAAATATATCAGAAATATTTTTCTTTAATTTCATAAATCACAGCATTTGGTGCTGGCTGGTCAAATCTGTAAACAGAATTATTTGAAATTTTTCAATTAAACCACTGGTGAAATAACAGTCATTGCAACCTAAAGTAATATTCATTACCATTCCTGCAGGAGTCAATGCTGAGACTTCTTCCACAGATGGTATAAGATGTTTTAATATTACCTTTCACCCTTACCCTCTTGTAAAAGGAAAACGGACAAATAATTAAATCAGTTAGTGTCCTTGTCAAAGTGATGGACAGGCAACTAAAATTAATCATATCAAGAAAGGCCTTTCATCTGACTGAAGCATACATTGCTGAGATGCTGAACATTGTAAGATAGATTGAGGACACAACAACAATCTACTGGCAAACACTAAGGTATCTAGGTTGCAGGCATTGTGATGGTCACTGGTCCTACAACATTACATTGTCTTCCTCCAACATAGGAGTTTCCTGACTGTGGGTAAGTTCTTAGTGAGTGAGTGAGTTTAATTTTATGTTGCTTTTAGAAATATTCCTGCAATTTCACGGCAGGGACACCGGAAATGGGCTTCACACATTCTGCCCATGTGGGGAATTGAACCCGGGCCTTCGGCATGACAAGCAAACACTTTAACCACTAGACTACCCCACAGCCCTAATAAGTTTTTAAGTTTCTACTAATGGTATGTAACCAAAGCCTGCCATCTGCTGCCACATCGAATTGACAGCTCATTGGAAATAGCAACGCTATTCACATTACAGATATATTAAATGACACGTTACCTGCTTCACTGTGTTATACATCAATGAATCATTATGGCAGAATAAAACACAATCATATTCACAAAATATCACATATTTGAAATACAGTCTTTCTCACACTGAATAACAAAGCAAATTATACAGATTTCTAACCGTTTTCTCAAAAGTAATTTCTCAAAGACTGGGTTCGATTCCCCACATGGGTACAATGTGTGAAGCCCATTTCTAGTGTCCCCGCTGTGATTTCGCTGTAATATTCCAAAAGGTGGTGTAAAACTCACTCACTACCACTGACACCATTCATTGTTCTTGGCTGTGTCCAGTAAGAAACAATACAGACCAGAAACAAATTTCCGACAGGTTTCTCAAACATAATTTCTCAAAAGTGAGATGAACTACAGGCAAAACAACCATAGCAAAAAAAATACATTTTATGACAAATGTGTGTATTCGATTAGCAAGTACCTGCTACGGACACCATTGATTGTTGCTGGTTGTACTGAGTGAGAAACAATGGACTGTCGTAAAGGCATGACAGGTCCCAATAAAAACAGCATGTTACACCATCATGTATTGTAGGCTGTAAATTACCCACATTCACATAAGCCATCATCATTTAGTTATCTCACTAATGGAAACTGTCTGTGGGGACAGCTATTATCTCATGATAATAATGTTACACGTTTTGTTTTGTACATTTACAGGAAGTACATGGTAAGCCAGCAAATATCAATCGATCAGCTTGGCTAATTTTGAATCCATGAGTATGGCTTCTATTTAATCTAGTTTAATAGTGATGTGTTTTCGGACAAAAAAACCATATGTAATATCTTTGAAGAATTAGTGTAGGATGGAAATCGGATTTGAATGTTTCATGCACGTAGGACTCTTTCCACAAAGTCTGACAAGGATGTGTTCTGCTGTTCACCAAGCTTAGATTGGTCACGTTGACTGAGGTGAGGGGAATGAGGCGGTGTGCATAGAGCCCAGGTCACAAATCAGGTGAAGTTAAGCAACGTTGGTCACAGACAGTCCTTGGACAGGTGACCGTATTCAGCAGCTTGACTCCTGAGAGTTTCCAGGACTTCAGTCCTGCTCCACAATGAAGCACACATGTCGTCTCACCTTTGACAAGTGAGTTTTTTCCAAATTGCCACTGTTCACCCAGCAGTGAATGGGTACCGGGTGGGATAAGCCATATGACTGTTAACCTAGAGCCTCACAGGCAGCTTGGGTTAACCGGGGTAATAATGTCTTAGCACTTTGAGCGTGCACAAGTGCGTAGATACAAGCGCTTTATGAATGTCCATTATTATCATTGTATGGTGCATGTATGCTAGCCCACGAAGACAGCATGCCAGTTTTAATATGACCACTTCACACAGTATACTGTCTCCAAGCTGACCAGTCCCACGTTTATCACCTTAATGCTGAGTGCCAGGCACTCAACAAACAGTACCATCTTTTATCATCTCCAGACCATTCACTCTATGGGCAGACGTTCTAACAACTAAACTGGCAGTTACATGTCATGAAAGTCATGTAGGTTGGAGTGAGTATAAGCAATATTCCCGAGGAGACAACTAGAGATGGATTGTACCCTTTTGAGCAATAAAACCCAGAGTATACTATTAAACCTCCTCCTGGACAGTTCATCCTTATGGACGAATCAGCCTGGGTTTAACCATCCTTCCAGAAGAACTGGCCGGATGGATTTTTCAGGCTGTTCAACATGGTCTTTTGTATGACCAACTAACATTTAAGTTCTAAACTATTATCAGGATGATCGTGTGCAGAACAGAATGTGAACAGAATCAGGAAGCCACACTGAAATTGCAATTTGAATAAGACATATAATCTTGATACAGAAACATTTACTAAATTACCCTGACTGGTGTGGGTCTTCACCAAGATCTCTAGCAAATTTGAAAGGTGAGCTTTCAACTGTGAGGTGGACTCTTACTTGTCCAGCAGAATAAGATACCATGGTACACCTAAATGATGCTATGAACTGGTTTGTAAGCCAAGTTACGATTACTACCTATATATCTTAACCCAATACACAATTTGGGAATCCTGACACAGCATGAACATATCTGAACCAGTAACAACAACAGAATCAAAAGCAGCAACTTGAGTTAAATCCGTTTGCTGTAATCACGGAAAACCTAACAATCTACATATTCATCCAGCCAAATTCACAGCCACAAAATTCTTCAGCTGTCCATCCAAGCATCTCAAACCAATCATACAACCACAATAGATTCATAAACAATATTCAACAGGAACTAATACAGAAATGAAAACTGCAGTACAAGTTATCACACAGACAACCTGATATTACTTGAATGCCAAGATAGGCAGGTCTGAACCTAAACGCCAGGCAGCACCTTACCTAGTCTGTCTCACAGTCCCTGAACCACATTATTTCCATACTGCCAAGCCCTATCTGCAGTGTGAAAGCCATAAATAAAGCAAGTGTCGATTTCCTCAGGTCTTGAATCTCTGGTCTCCCTGGGGCTCCTTTTCAATTTAAAAGGGCTTGTTTGTTACTATCAAAATTATATATATTCAGAGACTCAGCGTTAGTCTACACTTTACCCTCCCCCATGTAATAATGATGATATGTCTGCAGTGTAATATATCAGAGACCACTTGGACATGGAATCACTGCTGGCTCTGTCTGCCAGACAGGAATCTACATCACACAATGGTATGCCTAAATGGGCAGGGATAATGTTTCTCCAGCAGCTTTCTTGGAGCTCATCTAGCTCTCATTGTGTAGGTTTAGAATAAGATAACTGGCATAATGGAAATGTTTTGATTATTTCTCAAAAGAGTTACTGATACATGAATGTTTTACAGACATATCAGAAATGAGTCAAGTTAATAATTATTCATGTCTGAGCCCAAAACTTGTGCGTCTGTTTCTGTTTGCTCCAAACAAATGGGCTGACTTAAAATTAGAAGACCAACGGATGTTTACTACATTGGAGCTTTAGACTAGTGGTTCAAGTCAAACAGAAACTTTGAGGCTTGGATCATACTTCCTGTCTGGACATATTTTGGCCTGTGCATTTCAGTTTGCAAATTAATCAGACGTAAAATGACATATAAGTGGTCTTTACATTAACTTGAGCAGTATTTCAACTGAAAGCTAAAGTTCACTGGTGGTAGATGTTAGCACTTCAGCAAAACACATGCGCACAGCTCAATTTGGTAAGTTGTCTACCATTGCACCATACAATGAATCAATGAAACACTACACATCCCAACTCAACCAAAACGGAATACTTCATTAAGCTTGAAGTCCACGTTCAATGACAAATTTCAAAATAGTAATGGTAAACCTGAAATAATATATATACAAATGTAGGAGGAAAGAGGATAATCTTATGAGTCTGAATATGCTGCTTTTAATGAAAATAATGCAAGTTACAAAAATGGCTTGTTGGCTTAACACTCAGCAAGAAACTCAAGAGGTCTTTGTCTTAACCCTAATGTGAAGAAGTATAAAACATTTTAAGGGTTCCTAGATGTGCTTAACCTAAGGGACCCAGAAACCTTGTTACCAGCAATTTCTGACTGTTCACCCAGCACTGAATGGGTACTCAGTAGTATGAGATGATAATGTGACTGTCAACCTGCTAGAGCCTCACAGGCAACTTGGGTAGTACACTCCCCAAGGAGTTGAGAATGAAAATTGACTACACTCTGATCCATTGATCAGGGTAAAAATACTGTACTGTCATCCCTATTTGTTTCTTGAATGGAATCTGGTGCTCTATATACAAGGGTGGTTTATAGTTATTATTATCATTCTAAGACAGGTGTCTCACCTGCATCATGGTGTCGATCTCACTGATGACTTCCTCAGCGGAGGCCACATGGTCGGACTCCTCGGGCTGCAGGCTGGAGATGATGAGAGAGTGCATGTCGAAGGCCTGGGCCAACTCCTCATCATCGGAGAGGTCCAGATCAAGGACCTCTGGTTCCTGGAACAGAGAAAAGCGAATAAGAGGTCATCATGGAGAAGACAGAAAGTAAAACTAAATATTTTTTGCTTTTTTATAATATTCCATCTATTTCACACAGTCTGAGCGACAGAAATTGGCACTAGTCCTATCATCCTTGTCAAATTGCAAAATGCATAAGGATCTTAAGGACTAACATTAACTTGACATTTTTAAGGGATAATTATGTTGCAATTATAAGGATGAATGGATTAAAACTATGAATTTCCATTGTTGCAGTCTTTAAATACTATTATAACAGTATATAATAAAATAGTAATATTATTCTCCAGCCAAACAAACCAATGATTGATGTCATGAACAACATCCCACACCCTCAGGGTACAATGACACACGTCACAGAGATGGAGAAATTTTCACCCCCTGTACATGTCTTGATGAAATAGATGCAATACAAACTTTTCAAGACATCCTATATTCTGCACTAAACATGTATATGTCTACAAATGACTGACAACAGAACAATATATACTAGCCACATAAAGAAACTGTGCATGGTCAAAATATTATCCCAGTTGATAAGTACGATAACAATGTCAAAGGTACATATAAACTTTAATGGAGGGATCATGAGACCATAACAAGTCGGGAGAATTTCAATTGAAAAGTCAATCACAATGACGTCACGAGTCCACAAGCGGGACAGGGGTCAAATGACCATGTCACAAGCTCAATAACGGGTATGTCCACCATCGGCATTGAGAACAGCAGTGCATCGACGATGCATAGAGCCTATCAAACGTGCAAGGAAGGCTTGTGGGATGTCACGCCAGATTCTCTCAAGTTCTGTTGCAAGGTCAAGGACGTTATCTGGCGGATGAAGAAGACGGCGGAGACGTCGATCCATCTCGTCCCAAACATGCTCTATCGGGGAGAGATCCGGTGAATTTGCAGGCCAAGGCAGTAAGTCAACGTTGTGGTGTTGCAAGAAATCCATAGCAACCCTTGCCGTATGAGGGCGGGCATTGTCCTGTTGGAATGTTAACCCAGGGCCATGACGTTGCAGAAAAGGAATTGCCACAGGTTGAAGAATCTGATCCCTGTAGCCCACACCAGTTAAGTTGCCCTGAACAATCACCAAAGGAGTTCTTTGGAGTGCTGTTATTCAACCCCAAATCATCACGGAACCACCACCAAAGCGATTCCTTTCAAAGACACAGTCCTGTGCATAACGTTCTCCCACGCGTCTATAGGCACGTTGACGTCCATCACTATGGGAAATGTTAAACCTGGAATCATCTGTAAAAACAACATTTCTCCACCAAAACAAGGGTCTGCGGACATGATTTCGGCACCACATTCGGCGAGCTTGTCGATGACGTTGTGTCAAGATAGGCCGTATGGCGGGACGTCGTGGTCTGATCCCGTGATGACGTAAACGTTGTCGAACTGTGTTGGGGTGGATACGGCGAAGTCCTGGGATGGTTCGGGCAGTCATCACTGCAGTCTGAAACCTGTGGCGCAGATGGGTCACCCTTATCCATCTGTCCTGTCTTGGCGTTGTTACACGTGGACATCCAGAACGTGGCCGATCGATGATGTCATTTGTGTTCTGGTAGCGTCTCACCAGTGCAGAAATGGTGTTCCAGTGGCAGTGGAAATGTGCAGCCACTTGTCATTGAGACATTCTCCCACGGACCATCCCAATGGCCTCATGACGTTGTGCAGACGTGAGCCTTGGCATGCTATGCGTTTCAATAGCTGTTTAATTTTTTGAACGATCGCAAGGGCAGGGTTGAGCTTTTCAAAGTGACAGTATTGTGTGGCATTCATTTGCTCTGTTTCTCTTTCCCGGAATGAACGTGCAACAACAGTATTGCACATCTCAAGGACGAACCCACTGACGTCACGGAGCGTGGCACATGCATGCATGTTGGATACATGTCACTAATCTCTAAGTTTAAATCCTTATGTGTCTACACAGGTTTGATAAATTTAGATATTAAATTTTTGTATGCACAGTTTCTTTATGTGCCTAGTATAGTTACTAAACCAGACAAAACAAACCAACATGGCCACGTGTCAACCATGAAGAGAACCCATAGTAGAAGTTTCTCAGCCTTATGGTCAGATTTAAAAACTTTCACTAGATATTCATATTTATGACTTTATTTACCAATGAAAACCAAAGTTTTTACATCATGGGCACAATGAAGGGTTCAATATATTTATGAATCGGTTAATCTGTAATGAGTGAAATTTAGAAGGACAAAGTAACATTTCCTTGGGGACAACTACTACCACCATTAGGCTGATGGCAGCTCTGACACAGATCATTCATGTGGACTAGTGATATTAAAAATTAATTTCTAATTCTTGAAGATTAAATTTCCCCTATGTATTGACAACATATAAAACTTTAGGACAAGGGGACCCAGATCGAATACAAGGGTCCTTGCAGTGCAGGTGAAAGTCAATATGACAGTCCGTTGCAAATTTTATCATTGTACAAAATTGCCACATAAATATAAATAGTACACATGTTTATCATTTACTGATACCCAACAGCTTTCTTATAGACTCCACCAAAAAAGTTCTTTAAGAAACTATCATTAAAATTTTGATCAATTACCATAGTAACAGGTGAGAAAGGATGGAGATACAGCACAGGCTAATGAATCAATCAATTTGGTGGGCATTGCTTTTCTAACACCTGGCTGTCCCTTTCTCTGCACTACTCCCTGAATAATATTAACCGACATTATATTGTTGATCTGAATTGTCAATGAATATTATTAAGTCTGTTTATCTGAGTCTATTGATGCATGTTTTTCCATTATGTTAAACCCTTGTACCCACACAAAACATGAAACTGTTTCACAATATAATAACACAACAGTAAGACATACAGGTACAGCAGTCAGCACTTGCATTGCTTGTCCAAACCAGTTCACTCAATGTAAACAGTATTAAAGATGAAAAATTTCAATGTTTTCACAAAGTATCCTTATACATGTTACTACTCAGGATAGCAGCTGCTTCTAGTTACTACTCAATATGGCAGCTGTTTCTAGTTACTACATATATTAGCTGTTTCTACTAACTATTCATGATAGCAGCTGTTTCTAGTTACTATTCAGGATAGCAGCTGTTTCTAGTTACTACTCAAGATATCAGCTGTTTCTTGTTACTACTCAGGATAATAGTTCTAGTTACTACTCAAGATAGCAGCTGTTTCTAGTTGCTATACAGGATAGCAGCTGTTTCTAGTTACTATTCATGATACCAGCTGTTTCTAGTTACTATTCAGGATAGCAGCTGTTTCTAGTTACTACTCAATATAGCAGCTGTTTCTAGTTACTACTCAAGATATCAGCTGTTTCTTGTTACTACTCAGGATAACAGTTCTAGTTACTACTCAAGATAGCAGCTGTTTCTAGTTGCTATACAGGATAGCAGCTGTTTCTACTTATTATTCATGATACCAGCTGTTTCTAGTAACTACTCAAGATAACAGCTGTTTCTAGTTACTATTCAAGATATCAGCTGTTTCCTCTTTCTACTTAGGATAGCAGCTGTTTTTAGTTACTACTTAGGATAGCAGCTGTTTCTAGTTAAAACTCAGGATATCAGCTATTTCTACTCCAGAGCTTATTCTACTAATGAGGTTAATCTTTTTTAAAAAAAATTTTCATTATCCATAAAAACTGTCTTCCTTATGTGTATCACTTCTAAATGCCATTCAAAGACCTAAATATTAACACTCCACAAAAGATAAAGTGAAGAAACTGACCAGTCAACAATAAATAAAATGAGCATGGGAGTCAGGCGGAGGGTGAGTGAGCTGTGGGAACCTGCTGTTGTCAGTGTTAGAGAACCATGCTGCTAACACATTGACAGGTCTGTAGATGGATGTACACAACAGCGGGATGTCTGAACAGGCCAGCTGGAGGAGCTACCAGTCTCATCATTCAACATATACCGTATTTGTTGTGTACAGCGTCCTACTCCAATAAACACCTCTAGATATTCATATAATATCTTATAAAGACCCACACTTCACATGACAGTCCCTATTCTAATGTGTATATAACAGATTATGTTTCAGAGAAAACTCATTAGTGTAGAATAAGTATAGTAACTATATACAAAATGTGTTAGTTTCATTGATGTTGGAGCTACGTTTGTTTATTATGGCAAATGTGGTTCACTTCACACTGGTATGCAGGCACATTGTGCAAAGTGGAACCCTCAAACTCCAGTTACCTATATACGGCAGCATGCATGATAAAGAATGTAAAGATTATCTAACTGTAAATATGTCATCTGATATAAAAAGACCATTTTAAAACCCAAACACCTGAATCACATTTGCAAATAGGAGTTACATTTTAATACACAACATTAATGAGCTACATTTTAGAAAAAGGCAATATGTAAACATTTCCATTTGATATTACAAACTTGAGAGTCCTTTCCTAATTCAACAACTACCACAAACCTATCAAACTCTCATGGGAAAAAATGCAAAAATTCCCAGTACCAAAAATGCATTTTTTAAATTCCAAAGCCAGGTTCGCATTTTTTTAAATGCAAAACAATCATTCTAATCCTAATCAAACAGTTTCCATCCTACATATGCTAATCCCAGTGAGATGCTATTTCCCTGAACACCTAACATTACCAAGCTACCAGATGTGACCGGACTCATAGGTATTACACGCCCAACACGCAGAGGTCTATGAGTAATGATATACATCCAAGACCCTCCCAGGAAACAGGCTGCCTTTTAGCAAAATTACACCGAGGGCGATCCCAGCTAAATATGAGGAACCATCTCTATCACAATGCCCCCATGCTTGTCCAACGTGCCTGCCTGTCAGTTTCCTCTGCCAGAGCTAGTGGACCTAATATGACTAAAAGCCTGGCACACAATCTACAATTGCCAGTATTTAGAATGTTATGGGAGCATTATTGACAAGGTTGACATTTCCTACTTGGAAAAAAATGAGAATTTTGGA